TAAATATTTAGCTAGCTACCTAAATATTTAGGTAGCTAGCTAAATATTTAGCTCAAAACTAAATATTTAAGTTACAAGTTTAGCTTGATAACTAAATATTTAATTTGTAAGTTAAATATTTAGTTTATAAACTATGACATTTATAAATGTATGAATCATATGGTGAAAAACTGGCTTTGAAAAATAAATCTGTTCTTTTTTTTCTTATAAAAGTCTAAATAAAACAAAAATATTGGTGATAATTTTTGACTGTGTAACTTTACAAAGGGCAGCCCATACGTATTGCTTTGCTGCAGCATGTCTTTGTGTCCTGCGGGACAAATAAAGGATTATTGTGCAGCACAAGGACACAGGTATGTGTCTGTGTATGAAARACCTGTCATCAGAGATTAATAATTGTGCCATAAATACTAGAATAAATCGAAGAGCAAACTGTTACAAGCTGTTTAGTGCTTTGCCACCGTTTGCCTCATGAATCATATTCCCTAATTGTTTTTGTCACCAAAGTTACACAACACATCCTTGTAGCTACAAAACGGATGGCGCCTCCTGATATTTAGTCGGTGGGTTTTTCTTTGACAGACCGGCCATGTTTTCAGCCGCTCGCCGTTCCCCTCTGCTAGATGTGCTGCCACTTGATATATAGGGTCTTTTAGCCCCTGCTTTGGCTCAAATCCAAGGCCCATTTGTACAGATGGGATTTTACGTGGGCCATTTTAGCAAAGCACCCTCCCCATAAAGCCAAAGTGTCCCATCACTTCATAATTGTGTGATTATGGTCAATTGCTGTGGTTGGGGTGACAGATTCTATTTGAGCCCAACAGATGCTTTTATCATATTTTAGATCCCCATTTGACCTTAATCAAGCGTTGCATGTATGAATAAAACAAGGAGATTAGATTTTAGTGATGAGGCGGATCAGGTGTCTGAGGGAGGGAGGTGGGGGGCGGAGCCTGTGAGATGAAACACTTGAGTTAACACAAACAAGTGGTGAGTGAAAGTGCTGCTGCTCGGAGGATGGGACCGTTTCTGCAGCTCCACTTTTAGTTAGAGGACTGATGAATCGTGCCACCGTGTGGGAGTGGGAAAACACTGCAGGCCGGTGCCAGATACCTACATTTAGTTTCAATAAATCAAGACAAAATATGAAGCAAAAGGCAGATTTTTGTCAAATACATRACTAAAACCTGAGAGGATTTAAAAATAAATATGATGAGTGACATGAATCCAGATTAACCCAGAATAAATATATAATGAAGAAATAATCCTGAGTCACATGGTAGAAGTTATAATAAGAGTTTTTCAACAAGATATAAGAATAAACAATTATAATAAAGTAAAATTGAGAATAATGACAAGTGAAAAATGTTTAAATCCTTTTTCATCTTGCAGACTTTTAACCTTTTCTATTGAGACATTAGATTAGCTCATGGGGCACAAATGATCAATAAATTACACACAAAACTCAGTTTTTGAATTTTGTGGAACAAACTAGAGTTCAGATGATTTCTTGATTTTCCATTTTCATTTCTGCTTAACCAGCCAGAGTTTTATTTTAACTTTGAGAATGAAACCTTATGAATTGGATGGCTGTTGAGACTTTTTAGACACAAAACTAATTATTTTTACCAATAAMTCATGATCAAAAAGCATTAAAACCMGATTCAATTCAGTCCTTAAAGTGCCTGTGACATGCCTATCCTTCAAATACAAAAAGTCAAAGAAAACATCTTTATTCTTAAGAAAATTGGCATAAAACACATGATTTTACACATTGTGTCTAATAACTGTTTGAATTTGGCTCAGCCAAAGTGAAACAGGAAGTGACATCAAAGAGGAACACATTAATAAAATAAACTCTCTGGTCTTAGTTTATTAAAACAATATTATTTAAACTTTAACTCTTCTTCATCTCTCTTTGATAGAAATTCAAAATAATGTAAAGAAACATCAGATTCTTCTCCACCGTTTCTGTTGTTAGCTGTTGTAGCAACGCTCTGTTTACATGCAGACATTCCCCTTTGACATCACTTCCTGTTTCTTCACATGCAAATATCTCAACAACTGTTCATCTCAGTGGTGTGAAATTTGTTTTGCAATGTTATTGATGTTATCTTTCCAAAAATGCATTCATGTTTGTTACAAAAAATTGATGTCACAGGCCCTTTAAAGTGATTTAATGAGTTTGAACACAGTGTGGTTCATTCTCTAGTGATGGTAACAATTCAGGCCTTCAGAGAACAGAAACCTTTCAAAATAAAAGTCTAAGGCTCGGTGTGCAAATGTTTCTGCAGCATTAAAGTAACATTGTTTGAACTTCTGTGTAGGGAAGAAAAAAAAACTGAACATTTTCTATTATTTGCAAAAGCTCAAAGGATTAAAGCCAGTCAACAATGATGGAGAGCCACTGATCTTCTGAAGTATTTACATTTGTGTTTCGCTTCTCGTCGTCGTCCCTGAAGGCCTGCGTCTATATTTTTCCACTCTCAGGCTTCAGACTGTTTGTCTTTCTCCGCTCGGGTAAATGGTGGCCTCGGCGATAGACAGCCGCTCTCCATCTCCTACCCTCAGAGGGGGTTTGGCACAAGACAAATGGGTCTCGGAGACAAGCCCCGCCCTCTCCCACCTGTTTTATCTCATGTGGCGCCTTGGTCCGGTTGCGCCATGGGATTTGTGGCGTCACCCCCCCCCCCCCCCCAAAAAAAAAAAAACCCTCCAGTCCACCCCGAGCGCACAGCAAATCATCACTCAGCAGAAAACAGCACTGACACACCGCAGCTGAAGTAGACAAGTTTATTAATGATAATAATGAGGATGATGATGATAATATTAATAATTAGTCATAATTATAATAACGTTAATGTCATAATAAATAGAACTCTTCATCTGAAGCACGTAAAGAGAAGCATACAGAAAGAGGAAAAAACAAAAAAATAAATAAACAAAAACACAAAGTTTAGAGTACAGAGCCAGAGGAAGGGGCGGGGACTTCTAGAGACATTTTTTTTACCCTTTCAATATATCCATTTAATTTTTTAACTTTTTTAAACATTATTTTACTGGAACATTTACAAAAAGGAGAAAGAGATAGATTTTAAAAAATCCTTATAAATAAATTTTTGTTATTATTAGAACAAAATACAAGATTTCGGGGAGTCAAAGGATGTATTTTTTTTCTTTTTTCTGTTATTTTTAAATTTCCCTTTCTTTCATGTTTTTCCCCCCCAAAAAATAAGAGCTGAGGGAGGGAGGACGAGGTAACTGGGGGTGAAAGTTATTATGTACAGAACACCAGGAATACAAAACGGGGCCAGTCGACTCGCACACTAGAAGGCTGGGATGGGATGTGGGAGGTTGTTGGGGGCGGGGACTCCAGAGTGGGGCGGGGCCACAGCTCAAGCAGTTGTGCTCAGGGAGATCAGGACCAGTTCGTTACACTGAAGGCATCTGAAGGAGGGGGGGGGGGGTGTTACCGTGACTCCGCCCCCGTGCCCCCCCCACCACTCCGGCCCTCTGCTTCGGTGCAAGCTGGAGTTTTAGATCCAGTCCTCTGGACGCAGTTAAAGTTCAGAGTGAGCTCCAGTGAGCAGAAATAAACCACCACAGTCACAAAGAAATGAAAACGCCTCAAACACAGAACTCTCTCATCCTCACTGCTAACACTGCGAAATCAAACTACTTCATTAAAAATGTCTAAAACATATTCAGCAGGGTTTTTTTTATATATTTATATATCAACTGGATAAAAAGACAAAGTTCTAAGGCAATAAAATTGATCTTGCATTTATTTATTTTTTTTCTCAGTATTAAACTACAGCTTGCATGAGGCTTTGGCAGCTAATCAGTTAAGGAGAGCCGTGTTCACGGGAGCTGGAGGTGCTGGATGAGAACCCATGAGAAAATATGGTCATGCAATAAAAGCTATAGAACAGGATCGAACCCTGAAGCAGGGACGGGCCTTTTCATTACCACACGTCCAAAAGAGCTTCACTAATATGCTTATTTCTTTTTTTTTTATAGCAAAACTGCACTTTAAAGATAGCTGCAAAGCTGCACACACATTGAAAGCGGTTATTGTAGAGAAAGTGATGGACTTATACATGTTTAGTGTTTTAACCGTGGGTGAAAACGTCAGAATCCAGTAAAAATCTTCAAATGACAACATTGCACTCAGCCCCTATTACTATTCCTAACTCTACAACAGTTATTAGCAGGAACAGTGAACGATGGTGACATTTATTTTGAACTACTTTACTGCAAATGTTACTAATAATAAATGTGCATCAGGTACAAATTGAACTATCCCTTCCAGTTTAAAACGAGTCAAATATWTTTTTTTTATTTTGCATAAACTGAAAGATGCCCGACATGCATCTCTGCAACACTGTCCCATAGAAATGCTACGTGTTACCTTTTAGTTTAAAAAAAGAAGCAGGGATGCAGCTCAAAGCTCTTGAACAGATAATAACCAAACATAATCACACAAAGCCGTTGTGTTTGAGCCGGAGGGCGTCGTCGTCGTTCACAACAACAACAACAACAACAACAACAACAACAGAACACTTCAGAGCACCACTCTGCTGCAGGTGGAGACTTTCATCCCAAATCTGAGCTGCTGCCTTAAAAACTTACAAGAGCCTCTTGTGTGGATTCATCCGCCGCTGAAAGTAGTCCCTAAAAATGCACTTCAGCTTCAGTGATGTTTTCTAAAAACTACATTTTTTTTCTTCATTTTTTTCACTTTCTAAAAACATATTTTGACAGAAAAACAGTGTAAGTAAGAGCTTGGAGACACTTTTTTTTTCTTTTTGTAAGATTTGTAGACAAAAGTAAAACACACAACAGCGGTATCGCCTCTACCTTTATCTGCTAATACTAACTAGAATAAGTACACAAGTGTTCTCTCAAAAATGTGCCTGTCACACATGACATCAAGTTTTTTGTGGCGTTATGCATAGATAATTCAGTGGATAAACTCCAACCATATGAAGAAAAAAAAACAAAAACAAAGTAAAGAAGTAGAAAAAAAAACACAAACTGTGGCTCTTTATCTCTGCCTCCCTGGAAGTTTGCGTCAAACTAAAACTCCAACCTGCTCCTGAGTTGGTTCTGACCCGCCGCAAGTTTTCGTGCTGTAAGTGGGTCAGCTGACTCTCAGAAACAAACCTACAGGAATGAAGATGCTAAATCTGCATATGATAGCTGTAAGGGAGAACAAATGACCGACTTTTACCCCAATTAGACTTCACAACAGTTAGTTGCCATGATATAGATACTCTTTAATATATGAGATGCTGTCTACAAATGAGCAGAGGTCGGCGTGTGGGTAGGAGCCCTGAATCAGAACATTTTTTTTAAACCTGAAATAAGATGAAATTAATCAAAGTGTGAGGTGAGATTCACTGTACAGGATATTAACAGTACACACTGTAGTTTTGTACAGAAAGTCTGGAGCTTCATCTATTCTTCCCCTCCTGGAACAACTCCCACAAACCACTACTGACGTAGTGTACCCTGAACTCTCAAACAAAAGTTGTGCTTCACCTGAACCTGCTCGCCTCTGATTGGGGAAAGGGGGTGGGGGGGGGGGTTCTGGTCAGGGCCAGCAGGTTACGTTCAATATGCAATAAATCCAGCGTGAGAAGTGTGGTTTGTAAACTGAGGCGTCTGCAGGACAGCCGGAGCTCTTCCTCCGGAAATCTGGGTCACGTCGATACGCGTTCAGGCTCGCCATCATCAGAGTCCCGCCGGCTCCTGATCAAAGGGCGCTGGGAGCGCGCGTTCAAACCAAACTTTGGTTCAAGTAATAAGAAAAATCAATATTCATAAACTTTTTTTTTCTTTTCTAACACCTACAACAACTAATTAGCCTCCAGCTCCAGAGAATGGTCCGAGTTACAGCAGATTATTGTTCTGGTTGAAAAGAAGGTGGGATGTTTGGCTCTGAATGGGGAGGGGAGGGGGGGGGGCGATGTTCCTGTGTGAAATCCAGCATGTGTTGTCGATCTGTGAGTATCTGCACAGTGCGTGTGTTTGTGTGACAAAAGCTGGGTTCCAGGGGAGATAGTTCACACAATCACCATCACACTTTCAATCATAGAACACATGATCACATGTTACAGTAAATATCAGGGACATATTTAGTCGGAGGGAGTTCTGATAACTATGCTCAGGGGGGGGTGGGGGGACCAGAGGCTTTCCTGCCACCCCCCTCTATTCCCTGACATCACCACAGCCCATATAATAGATATGTATATATATTTATATACAGAAAAAAGAATACATACTTATTGGACACCCTAGACAATAAAATACATTCAAAAACTGAACCAACATTCTTGATTAAACACGTTTACAGTGACTCTCCTGATATAAAGAATTAAGGTTCTGCTTCCACAAAAGTAAAACTTTTTTTTTCTGTTCAAAAGTTTTGAGTGCTGAAAAAGAAAACACAAATACTCTCAGAATACACTGACAAAAAAAAAAGAAATCACATATCAGCCCTCGTTCCTTAATACTGTTGGATGGGCACTACTGTGTTTCTATAATGTTTTATCTAGCGACATAGTCTATATGCCTCAGGCTTCTGTTTTGGTTATGCACCTGCTGATGGAATACAATGGGATTACTTGATAATTCAATTTGTTACATGGATGTTGATGAGTTATTCTCGTCAGATGGAGACGTGCATCGTTGGTAGTTGTACGCACCTTGTTTTCACGTTGGTCTGATAGTTTGTCCGTCGGTGCAGAGTGACACAAAGGCTTGGGCTTGAAGTCTGGCAGGTGAATAAAGTCAGCGGCTTCTGCGCTTCGTTTTTTTTTWAAATCTTTTCTAAATAGTCCTAAAGTCAGTGACCTCTGCTGGGGCGTGGAGAGGGGCAGACGGGGAGGCTCGGCTTCGTACCGTCTCACCGTCCCGCCGTGGCTCATCCCCCCCCACTCCCCAAAGCTGTAAACCATCGATGCTGCCCATTGGGGAGGGCGGGGATGCCCAATGGTGCTGCCAGAAAAAGGGGAAGTGACATCACGACAGTATCCACGGGGGGACGCTGCTAACAGTAGGCGCTGCGGGCCGACGACGCCGCGAGAAGGAGGAAGCGGCGGCGTCATCGTTGGCCCGAAAACAAAACAAAAACAAKAAAGGAAGATAGTAAGGAAGGAAGAAGGCGGAGCAGCAAGACCAGGAAGCTGACCTTTGACTCCAGCCACAGGAAGTACAGCGTAGAAAGTGCATCTGCCTAAAAGCCGAGCTCTCCCGGTCACCACTTTTTTTTTTAGTTTATCTTTTTTTTTTTTTTACACGACCTCGGCGACAGAGCAGTGTGCCAAAGAGAGAGGAGGGGGGGCGAGGTCCTCCCTCCTCCTTCCTGCATACCACAGAATCAGCATCAAGGGCCAACTGTTCATCTCCCTTACCAAAAAAACATAAAAACAGATTTGTACATATATACTGCTTTATACACACTTTTTTTTTACCATTGTAAATCACAAAAGTATAGAAAAATAAAATGTTTTATAATAACGGGACACTTCTTTCTTTCTCTGTCCTTTTCTACCCGGCAAAAAGGTGGTCCCTGGTGGAAACTGGCTCACTCCATCTGTCAAGTTTGTGGCTGGTTTGACACCACTGCCGCGGCGCCACTTTGTACGCCTCCCGTCTTCCCTCGCCAGCCTCAGTAGAGGGACTCCTTCTCGTCGTCTTCTTGTGTTATTTTCTTAAAGCTAGTTCTCCTCTCCTCGCTGTTTTCATCTGTGATGTCCATCAATACTGAGTACAGCTCTTCATTTTGTATTTACTAGAAACAGGGGAGAGAAGCGGGGAAACTGGTAAATATGCAGAATGTTGTTGTTTTTTATCATAGCCGTGCATAATGAGAGGCTGTACGAGTGGAGCAGCTCAGTGAAAAGTTCCTTTCAGAATAAATTTTCGTGGTTGTCAGAGAAAGTCTAGAAATAGCTCTTTGAAAAAAAAACAAAAAAAAAACACAAACATAAAGAATGTACGCAATAAACAGCACATTTCCTTAAAAGCCTCGACATTTTCCCATCTGTGTAATGTACACTTTGAGGAGGAGGAAGTTCAACATGAGGTCAGAGCACAGAGTCATAAGAACAATTTTTAACTCGACTACAAAAAGTTTGGGAGCTGAGAGTCGACTTCATTCAGTTCTCGTTCTGCTCTTGTTAGAAAATAACTAAATCCCCCCCACCCCTGCTGAAACCYGTCCCCAGAAAACCCAGATCACAGGGTTCCTACAGCTCAAAACAAGTTAAATTTAAGACTTTTTAAGACCTCTTTAACGCCACTTGAAATTTATTTTAAGACCAAATTCATAACAATATGAAAAATAAAATCAAAAAGAAAAAAAATAAGATGAGATGAGATGCATCAGGACAAAAAAACTTAGCAACAATTTTACCCAAATGTTTACTTTAACACAAAACAACTAGCTCTGAGAGGCATTCTGCCAATTATTTTAAGAAACTAAATAAATGTTACCAATAATTTTAACATTTGAGATGAATTACAATCATCCTGTTTAGCTACAATATGTTTTATAAGACCTCTGAAAGATTAATTTAAGACATTTTAAGGCTAATTAAAGTCTTATTTTTGGACTGATGAATTCAATGCCTTTTAAGACTTTTTAAAGGGATCCCCGATTAGTTGTAACATTAGACTTTGTTTAATAAGCTATTATTTTAACTGTAAAATAAAGAC